AGTAGAGAAACACAGAACCTTTGTGAAGAAATGGCTTGTTAAGCATTTCAAACACATGCCAAGTTTCTTTTTGAAAAAATAAATGAATTCAAATCATTTCTTCATTTCCAACAAGGTGCAGAAAATTTCTTTTCAAATTGTGCCAACTGATTCCCAGCAATAAATAAATAAAACAACTGTCCTATAAATGTACTAAACTTGACTCCGATTTTTAAAACAGAAAAAGTTTGAAGCGACCTTGGAGGCAGGTGACCTTGAGTCTTCGCTGCTGATGAGTTTGAGTTTGACCTGGCAGCAGGACGGCCTCCTGCTCTCCTGGTTTTCTGCCGCCACCTCGGTGGCGTCTCCATCAGCCCCACGTGTCAGGATGATTAGCCCCGTCTCTCCAGTTGCCTGGCAACACGTCTAATGATGATGGGCTAATTTAGCTAAACACTCCAGCCATCCACGTGGGACACAGAAGAAAGAGAAGACGTCTGTAAAATGACTTGTGTTACATAATAAGTTGAGTTTATGACACTTTCTCTCCAGAACTTTTGGCGCATTTAAATTTATCCAAGTCTTTTCCACAAAAGAAAACGCTGTTTGTTTTTGGGTGATGCTAAAATATGTCTGCAGCCCGGCCAGCTGGAGGTCAGAGTGCAGACCGGCCAGCTGGAGGTCAGAGTGCAGACCGGCCAGCTGGAGGTCGGTCTGCAGACCGGCCAGCTGGAGGTCAGAGTGCAGACCGGCCAGCTGGAGGTCGGTCTTCAGACCGGCCAGCTGGAGGTCAGAGTGCAGACCGGCCAGCTGGAGGTCGGTCTGCAGCCCGGCCAGCTGGAGGTCGGTCTTCAGACCGGCCAGCTGGAGGTCAGAGTGCAGACCGGCCAGCTGGAGGTTGGTCTGCAGACTCCTGCCTGGCGCTGCCTGGATGAAACCTGCGTTGTTATGTAAGCATATTTCTGTATTCGTCTTATGTGACGTCTGCGTTCAAACACAACCGATGATTCACGGAGCTGATGGGAACTTTGAGCACAAATTACCAATGTGTAGCGATCATTTGCTTACCTCCAACTGTGTGCAATTGGAAATTTGAATTATTGTGGCAGACTGAATTTAGGCATTATAGCCGACTTCATGCTGATCCAAACAATTTTCTTTTTAATCTTAATGAGTTAAGATTAGTTTCTGATGGGTTTCGGTTTATGCTTCATAAACCGAATTTCTTTCTGTGTCTCATAAACGCAGTAGAAAATTTTCAGCACAAACATCTGACTGCGATCTGGTGAATCCATCTCTTCAAAATTACAACAGAGCAAAATTAACACCTTAAACAGCCACATGTTGAAATCAGATCGCTGTTGTTTCGGCAGTTAGAGTTGATATATGTCCACACAAAGTATAATAAGCACTTTTCATTTCACAGATTCTTTTCATGATAAAATATGCTGCTGCCGGGTTTCTGCACAAACTAATTCCTCCCAGTGATCCGTCCACCAGAGCCAGTGGAATCAGAAATGGATCTCATAAATCTCACTCATTTCCAAAGAGCCGGCCCAAGAGGCAGGGCAGAGGAAACAGCAACACATTAACAGAGATCGAGAACATTTTCAAATCTGGAGATCAAAACACATACAGAATCATTAAACATAAGTGTGTCAAAAAAGAGACCACACCAGCTGCTACATTGGACGATACTGTTGAGTAGACAAGTCTAAATCATGTTAAATATCAAATTAAATGGGATGACAGATTGGGAGACTCATGACTCAGGAGGGAGAAACTCAGAAATAAACAGCATCATGATCCAACCTGGAAAAATCTCCCGTCTGTTGCTGCATTTCTTCCTCATTTCCTGTCTTTACACTGTTGACTAAGGCCAGTTTATTCTGTTAAAAAGACTAAATAATTATTCTGTGAGTCAGTGGGTATTTTATCTACTCGTCAGTAGAGACAGAAAAGAATCTTAATAAATGAACAGCATATTGTGTCTTTAGTCTTTTTTATTTCCACATCTACAAACAGAAACTATTCCAGTTGCAATAAACAATAAACAAATTATTTGCATAATAAATTAACAGGAGCTCAATAACTACCATTTTGGTGATTGCTATTTGTTTTCAGAGACTTCTTAAGCTATTTTATTTATGGTTTTGATTGTTGTTTTGTTTTTGGTTGTTTTTTATATTATTGCTTATATTTAAGATAACGTCCAGTTCAAAGGTTAAGTGTTTGTTGATTTTTGAGAGCACAAACTTATATTATTATTCTATTATAGTTATACCATTTAACAATGGCCTCAAAACAGCAATTATTATTCCTTACAATAATTTCTGGGACTTTGCAACAAGAAACTAGAAAATTATTTTTGATATATTCTCTGTTACTAAGTTTAATAGTGTAATTATATATTATTCAGGCATAATTGTCACGTAAGGAACATAATCACTAACGCCTGCTATTGTTTAATCATCAGCTGCTCTGAACTCTGTATTATGATAGAAAAAACCTTTTCCATTTTCTTTTCCTGCCGCTTTGATAAATCACATAAAGCGCCGCTTTGCCTTATTTGGCCCTGCAGCACAAACACAGCTTGAAAATGGTGAGTCTGACTGTGATCATACAGCACAAATCAATCTTATGCACAGCTTTGAAATAAACAGACATATCCCAGACTCTTCCTTCAAAACTCACTTTTTCCAAACATCGATCAGAAGTATGGCGGCTTTGGATTCCAGTTTCTTCCCTTGTTTAACGGGAAGCTGAACGGCGCTGGAACGAAAGAAAGAAAAAGAAAACAGTCACATTTTCACTTCAGAGATGCATTATCTGTTACAATCAAGTAGAAGGGTATATCTATCATTTTTCTGTCATTTAATGGTGAATAATAATCCATCCATCCTTGCATAGAAACATACATGTTGGTCTAATTTGTATGCAGGTTCATGCATAGCTTTAGTCCTAATTGCTGGAACGTGGTTCCGTGTGAATGTCACGTTTAATGACTCATGTTCTATTTTGGTTTCAGGAAACCAGAGTTTCAAATGATCTTTGAAAGTCTAATTAAGACACTAACTTTGTGTTTTATGTTTCTTTAAACGCTGTTATTCTGCTGGAACCATTTTGCTGACTGTGACTCATTTTCTTAAAAAATGTGAGATGACACTGTAAATGTCAAGTATAGGAGTTTGATTTTAAAAATTAGTGAAAAGTATAAGCTATTTGGAGGAACTGGAGAAGAACAGACCAGAACAACTCACTGTGATGCAACAATATAAACTAATTAAATTAGCTTTATTGTCCCATAAAGGCAAAAAGAAAATGGCTGATTTAGTTGCACCATGAAGAATTCAGCTCTTCTCCTCCTTCAGTTTGTTTCTATTTTACGATGTTTTGTAGTTTTTTGTTGCTTATTGCTGTCATACAGCTCTTGCCAGAATAGTGTGAGATGAGGTTTAATCTGTCTTAAAATATGATCTGATACGAACAGGAAGGCATTCAATAAACCAGCTGCAATTTTGTTCTAATTCCTCCTGCACATATTGGCTCCATAAACTCTCCTGTTGTTTTCCTCCTGTTGGCTAGAGGCTAACGGAGAACTGCTGCTTTTATGGGGCCATTTTGGACAATGACAACCGTTTGTTATTGTTATTATTGTTGTCTTCTTCTGATGATGCTTCAAAAAACAAAATAAAAATTCTGAGATTTTTTTTGTGATGTAAAACTGAAGTCAATAAAAAAAATGCATCTTCTACAGTGTTCAGGTAGTTAGAAAGCAGAAACAAAGTTCTTACTTAGCTTTTGATGCAAAGACAATAAATGTTCACAAAATGGAGGAGATAATTATGGTGAAGGAACAAAAACAAACAGACGTCTCCAGAGTTTCTGACTCATATGAGGAACTCCAGACAAATAAATAAATGTTCCCGAACAGGACTCCGACTCCGGCTGTTGCACACAACTGGTTCAATAATCTGGCTGTTGCTTTTGTTTATGTATCAAATGAAAACACCAATTAACACAGAAACGCTTTCCGCCACTTTGACAGGAAGACGGAATCCTATGTGATTATGTTTGTAAATAATGCATCACTTCTTCCATACTCTAATGCTTCACCACGTACCGTACTCAAACATACAGAAAGTTAATTCTCCCAACTTTTAGCAGTTACAACTCCTAATGCACAACAAGCTCTCAGAATGCTCTTTAAAAGTTCCTTAAATAATTAAACTGAGTTTATTGCAGAGACTTTGCTTTGAACTTGAAATAGTTCACAATCTATTTGATTTTCTGCTTAGAACCAATGAAAATAGATTATCAAACCAACATAAAAACAATTTGACGGAAATGTGGGTTTTCTGAAAAACATGTTTAATACCATCTTAAACATGTTTAATATCATCTCAAAGGTGATTATGAAAAGTGGATTCCAGTTTCCTGTGTAAATTTTTGTGTATTGGTTTGATTATATGAACCTTTAGCTAATTGAACTGCATCAGATTTCTTATTTTTGAAGAACATATTAAACTTGGATCACCGTCTGGGATTCAGCACTTCTGAAATGCAGCATGTTTTATTGTTGAGACAGAGTTTACAGGAGAAACATGTTTATACTTTTCTCTCTTTACAATCAACATGTTGTCTTTTAAAAGAAATACAACACTGACACACTTACAGAGCAGAATAAATAAACTCTTCTTTTTGTATAATATGGAACCAACAGTAAGGATCTCATCCACAACGCCACTGAAAAAGAGACAAACAATAGACAGGAAGTCTTTTCTTCTTGTCACTGAAAACCCAGGAAGTTCTCCAATGTCCCGTAAGAAACTGAAAACTGTCATTTGAACTGAAAGGAGGGACAAAAATACAATTTATAAAACCAATTTCATCCCCGTTTGGTCACCATGTGCTTTATGGCAGTGAGTGAAGTCAGCACAATAAGAGTAATATAGCAGGAATTATTACAAAATCCAAACTTCTTCTGCTAAAAAAAAAAAAAAATTTGGGACTTTTGGAAATCAAAAATGTTTTCTATCTAATGAAAATGTGAGACCAGATTGTAGACTCCAGTGTCAAAGGGATTCTGCTACGTGACTTTAAACAGGCAAGAAACTTAAAAATCAATCACAAAATACGAAGCAGGGAAAGTTTCCTTCAGAATAAACAGATTTCTGACATATTTTTGCTAAACATGTGTTGCAAGATCCTAGTTACTACTGCATTCTGGGAAAAAAAACATAAGGAAATACTTGACATCAACATGTTAGCTTTTCTTTTAGGATGTCTTTATTTCTCTTTACATTTCACATTAAATGTCAGACTTGCACATCTATTTTCTTCTGTACTGGTCCGTCACTTCGTAACACGATGAGGCAGATAAACAGGGAAGCACAGAAGCTTCTGTTCCGGGTCCTTCCTCCCTTCGGAGCGGTTTTACCCAGCTGCAACCGTTCCCTGGAAAAGTGGGCTGATCAAGCCCAACTTTCTCTCTGCCTTTTATCATTTTCTCACCCTCTTCTTTCTCAGTAGGTGTTGGTTTCCAAGTACTTGTAAATTGGCACTCGGGGCAGCTTCAGTGCTGTCTGCTCATGAGGGAGGTGCCGGCAAATTGGCCATCAAACTGCAAAGCTACTGCCCAGCCAATATGCACCGCAGTTCCTGAAAGGTCCAGAGACGAGAAAGGTTTATTAAAAAAAAAAAGAAAAGTTTCCAGGCTCTGACAAATGAAAAGTTTTTCTGTTTTTTTCCAGTCACTCATGTGTCTCCATTAGTATCCTCCATTGCGTTTCTGACTGCCAGGACAGACTGTGCTGTAAGTGACGCAAAACGCCGTGTTCAGCCAACACAGATGCAAAACAATTGTTAAGAGTTCAGTTTTCATGCAGGATTCGAAGGCCTGGAATTTACCTCTGAATCCTTAAAAGAATGAAAAAAATGAGTTAAAAGTAGATTGAAGCACATTCTTATTTGTTTATCAAATTTCAGTCACAAGGAAGCTCAAAGACTTTATATCATAAAACCACAAAGTCATGAAAAACGTCATAAAGTCGACAATTTAGAAAACCAAAAATAAACGTTACATTTTGTCATGAGCCATCACTAAAATCCTCATTACACATCAGATATGTTTCATTTATTATGGTTTAAAAAGATTTGAAATATCTGTAAGACAGAAAATACTTTTTCACGACGGCTGTTGTTCACTAGTATAACCAATTCACCAATAAGCCCAAAATATCCAACAGAAATAAATGCATTTTGGTGAAAGCAGTTAAGACACTGAAATCTTTGTTCATTTGTATAGTTTTGGTCCAAATTTTGCTTATTTGATGTTTTGCTAGAAACAAACAATCCAATTATCTTCTAACTTTGTTGCCTTGCCAACTTCATGTAACAGGAATGATGAAGTATTTTTTTATAAAGCAGTGATAAGGTCCCCTTTAGTGGTGGCAATAACGCTGGGTTTCCTCTAAAAGCTTTGCGTTTGGCTTTGGGCAGCAGGAGGTGAATGCAGCCTCAGTGTTCTGGTATTGCTGAAATCCAATTTGCAGTTGTGCTGTACAGATGTTAGAGCAGTTTTATCCCTGATGCTGTTGAGTTGATTCTGTTCAATATGGTTTAGTTAAAAGTTTCAAACCTTCAGGGCTTCTGCTTCACGTTTCCCACCCATTATATTTATCTTGAAGATCATCTTTATATTTCTTTTTTAGCTTCCCAGCCTAATAAAAGCAATTTAAAATTCTGACAGCAGGAATTTAAACCTGTCCTTAAAGGGAAAATGGACTCAACATGATTCAATTTGAAAGAGGAAGACAACTTACATTTAGCTTAGTTTATGTTTAGCCAAGTTTGGTGAAAACAAAACAAACACGCCTGCAGCTTTTGTTAAAAGTTCTGTAAAGTTTTTATTAAAAAAAAAACAAAAACCTGATTTGGAACATTTTTCTTTTGCCTGATTTTGGGAATTTTGTCCTTTTATTTTTACTTGTATTATTTATTGTCATTTTTAGCCTTAACATACCATAATTTTAACTTTTCATGATTGGTCCACCTGATTATGCAATTTTTAAATATTACATTATTGATAATTTGATCAGTTATTCAGTCCTTAAGACTTTTTACCAAATATTTTTTTACTTGAGTAATTTCATGGATGGCTGCTGGGTTTTTTGGTCATTTAAAGGTTAAGATACACTCCAGCTTCATTTGGTCCAAAATGCAAAACGATGCTCCTTTGTCTCAGTGGTGTTACCGCCCCTGACCTCTAGGGGCGCTCCTCTTTCTCCTCTTGTCGTTTCAGCTCTGCCTGATGTTGCAGATCATCAGTGTAAAGAGCTCCGTCTCAAAGCGACAGGCCTCTTTCCCCTGGCCTTGATTTGCAGTGATCCTGTCTGTTTGCTGAACACTTGGCAGCTTGGCTGAATATTTCTGAGTAATTGTAAGTGAAGATCTAACAGGAAGGTGGTTTTGTTCACAGTGGAAGCTGGTAGGGTTTCCTCTTTCAGTCGTTTCTCTCCTGTTTTGTGGAGTCTTTGGCTCCACAAAAGCCAAAGACTTTGGCTTTATACTTCAGGCCCTGAAGTATAAAGCTTCCCTGGGTTGATTGTTTTGATAAAAATGAACACTTGTTTCCACAGTCAACAGCGCGTACATATGTTTTACACTGTGACAGAAACATCTTTGCAGTATTAATAGGTTGTAACAAAAGGGTAACAGTTGTTTGTTCAGATGTTTGCATCAAACCACCTAAAACTTTTCACCTCCAGAAAGCTTTAAATTTAAATAAATGAGAAACCAGTGGAGTAAAAACTGGGTTAGAGGTTTAGAAAACAGAGTATGGTTTTACCCTCCAGTGTAATGTGGACTGAAGTGATTTATTGGTTATATACCAGCCGATGGTATGTGGGAAAACATGGAGTCTCCAAACAGGCTGGGGCAGATATGAGTCACACCTGACAGCTTCATGCTGTGAATTCATCTACAATCTCAAACAAATAAGCAACAAAATGAAGGCTTGTGTTTGTTTTATAAGACTACAGATGATTGTTTTTATTTTGAGGACAGGGTCACACCCAGCAACAAGTTCGACCTCCCGTCGTCACTAAGGTAGGACTTTCTGTCGACTCCTGGCTCAGTCGCTCTCAGATGAATGAAGGTTTACTGGCAGAAATTTGTAAGCTAAGATAAAGTTTGTGATGACATCAAATTCTCTGCGAAGGAATCTGTTTTAATTGCACTGACTGCTTAGATTTTTTTGTTTTTCTGAGGTTTTCTAAGCTTGTTGAGTATTTTTCCTTCTCTGAGTTGACTTCATCATGCCTTGGGACTGGAGAACACAGGAAAGAAAAATGACCGAGTGAATGATTGTTGCAGTCAAACTGAGAATATCTACCTCTACTATTATAGTCTTATAATAAAAACCCAGCAAGTCTCATTTGTTTTTATTCATTACTCTCTTTTGTGGCAATAACAATCATCAAAACCAGCAGGCTATGAAATTTATAAGACTGAGCCAGGGCTTTTATTTTTTTCCTCCCTATATTCATTTTATTTTATCTTATTTCACTTTGAAAGAGCAGAGAAAGGTAATGCTTTTCTCCGTTATAACCCCGGACAGATGAATGCATCCAGAGAGATCATTGCTGGTTCTCATATTCCTCCTCTGAGTTCACAGTTCCATTTTCTTCTCCATGTTAGCTCTAACTACAGATGATAGAAAAGGTGAAGTAGGGCCGTGTGTTTAAGAAATAACAGAGCACAGATGAGATGTTGGTGGCAGAGTTGTCGCTCCTTCAGGGGACAAAATGGTTTTTGGGTTATTTTCCAGTTTCTAACATCTGTCACACTGTTTCTGATTTCACTGAAAACCAAGGTTCATACCATTCATCTCACCAGTAAACCGTGACGTTTAGTTCTGCTGCGCTCCTGTTCCGGACTGTTTGTGAATTGGGATCAAGGGTGTGGAGTTCACAGTGTTCTGCTGTGTCAGGATGAGGTGCGTTACTTTAGCTGACATATCAGCATCATGTGTTTATTTATCAAATCTTTAAAAGTCGTCTTAATTTCTGAGTTACATTTTCTAGATAATATAAAGACTTTCAGAACAAAACAAGCTTGCAGTCAAGTTTCACTTTTAGTTTCATGAGGTTTCAAAAGGTTGGTGAAAAATCTGCATTGCGTAGATTAAGTGATGAGTAAATCATATATTGCTGCAATATCAGAATCACAGTGGCATTAAGAAAGTGAAGGCAGCTCTCACACAGGATTTGATTTGCAAGTTACAAAACTGTTTATATTTTCAAATTAAATTTGAAACTTGGAAATCCATGTGGATTATTTGTCTTCCATCTGTGAAACCTGCAGTCTGTTTGGAAGCCTGTTGATTAATGATTTTCATCATCCGTCTTTCAGATGCATTTTGGAAGAACTGAGAAGAACAGAAACTACCTGATGCTCTTTCAAAAGAGAAATGTGTGGCCATTCTTGCTGAACATAAACATGTTGTTGTTCTTGTCTGATCTCCCTCATCACCATCTGAAAAGCTGCAGGCAGGTCATCCAAGCACACATTTTATGTCTGAAGTCATGTTGTTGTGCGGAGTCAAGGTTTTTAATGTCCGTCTCAAATAACCGCAGGCGTCCAAGGAAAAGACATTGGCATGATTTCATCATCTCTCTCTTAATGCTGGTAAGTTTTTGCACAAATTGGATAGATGGCAAGATGACAGATACATTTCACATATGCACCATTGGGGGCATGAATGCCATAAAAACTGTGGTTTTCAAATTATTTATCAAAGCTGCTGTGTTTCCAGGGTGGAATGAATACAGAACAACTCAATGATTAAAAACAAGAACTGGATGCACAAGTTTGATTGTGATTGTTTTAGTTTCTTCGACACTGTGTAAAATTATACATACTGACTGGATTATACACATAAGTGAGTACAATCCACCCATTTATTGTCCTCTGTTTCCCCAAGTTTGAGTAATGAAATTAAAGGGACTTCCAGACTTCTTGCTCTGCGGTGACTCTCTCCAGGTCATTCAGGGACGTGACCAGAATGACACGTCTAACCGGATATTCCCAGATGAGAAGTGAAATATGTTGTTCTTTTCAGCATATTCTGGATTCCGGTTCTCCTGACCAGACACCATTTTCTTCATGACCTCCAAAAGGAAACGCCTAACAGGACCTCTTGGGGTCAATATCAGTCACTGCCAAAGAAAATAAATATATTTGTTCCAAATGTCAGGAACAAGCTAAATTTTTCCAAAGTATTTTGACTTTGCAGTTTTAAAGATATGCTACAAAACAGTCAGCTTCGCTTTCTTAGATGGAAAAGCTTTCAACTAATAAACCATAAAAACAATGTAAAACATTTTGAAACGTCTTCTTGTTGCTGAAATCTGCAAAACAAATAAACTTGATTGATTGACACATTGATTAAGCTACTAAGACCACCAGTCCGATAAGACAGATACGTTTTTTCAGGAGGAACACGGCGCAGCCTCTATGTTCATGCACATTTGTCCATTTTTCCTCATTAAGCCAAATGAGAGCCGTGAGGACGGCTTGGAAATCAGGGCCTCAGCGTTATGACTGAGCTGCAGACACAGTTCCAGAGAACCCCTTCACCGTCACCCCTGCTGAAGCAC